TTTCTCTCTTCTCCTTGGTTTGTTGTGGCCCCTTCGGTTCAGGATTGTTTGGCGACAGCTTTTTCCTTGTTGGCATTGGCCTTTGGGAGTCGGGAAGCTTCATGCTCTGCTCTGGGGCAGGGCTTTCTGCTCTTATGGTCCTGGTGGTAGGTTTGTTCATTTGCAGCTGTCTCCTTCTTTTCTGGCAAAGAAAGACTACTGCTTTCCGGAGGGGTTCTTGGATTGTTGATACTTGGTTGGTCAGACCTGGGGGGCATCATGTGTTGTGTCCAGTTGCGACTCCCCGCCGTTACCTGTGTGCCATGGCTTCGGTGGCCGGGGACGCACTTTGGGTTGACCTGGTTTCCCTTCCCTGTTCCAGGGTTCAGGTCTCCCAGGTCATCTGCCAGCCTGCAGTCTATCACTGTGCCCTTGTCTCAGGGCGATACTCAACAGTTTTGCCTCCGTCATGCTGCCTGTTGGGTCAATGACACCCATGACCCAGAGTCTTGCGAGTCTTGCTCCTTGCTCATGCTCTAGATTATCCAGTCTTCTGATATTGATGTTCAGGTACAGGCGGCTTCCGCATTGCATGCTCGATATCGGTTGGTTGCTCACCCGGTTCCCTTGAGGCTGCCCCGCTTGGGTTATAGGAACCTGAACTTGGGGGCATTAGTTGCTTCGACTTTGGTTTCATCCACGCTCCCAAGTCCTTTCCCGGTTGATGTTGTTCGTCCTGCTTATCTCCTGGCTTCCAAACATCTGATGGTTTCGGAGTCGGGGCAGGGTTTAGATGGTAGTGAGACTTGGGCGGCTAAGGGGACTGTCCCATCCGAGTCGGCAACGGAGGCATTCGAGCCTGCTCCTCCTGCAGAGGTTTCAGGGTCTTCTCAGCCTTTCCCCTGGTTTCTGCCTTTTTTTATGGGAAGAGGGTGTAGAGGACGGTTCTGCCCCAGGTCCAGCCATGGAGGATCCTGGGGCTGGGGAGAAAATGACTTGGGGGGGGGCTTGGGCCCCATTAGACCCCGCTTGGGTGTTAGCACCCTCATCTCAGGGCTTGTTATTGTAGGGGGAGGGGTTTTTGTACCCCCTCTTCCCTGTACAAGTATGATTTGGGTTCGGCTCCTCCCCAGGTTCAGTTCCAGGTTCTCCTGGGTTCTTCGGTTCCTTCCTTCTGAAGGTTTTCGGCCTCTCGAATCCCGCCTAGGGAGGTTCGGGAGACTATCGCGACTTACCTCCTGCGAGACCCAGATTATGCCTGGGTGGTGGATCTGATTTCTTTTGAGTTCGATTCAACCTTCCCCTATTGGGTGTGTTACGAAGTACCGGAGTCTTCCTGGTTAGCAGACTATCCTTTTTTTCATTTGGAGTGTGGCATGGTTATCGTTGGACCCACATGATTGACTGGCGGGAGACTTAACACTCTGGTACAGGTTTACCAGGGGTGGGGGGGGGTGGGGGTGGGGGTGAGTTGGAGCACCTCAGTGAGTGCTTGTTCTCCCCTGTACTTCCTCGGAATGTTGGCATTATGCAGCTGCATGTGCAGGTTCCAGCCATTTCGGCTGCCTTGATGGCTGAGGATTTGTGTGCCCAGGGGCATTTGGCTTCATTCTTGCGTTTCTTTTCCCTTCTTGAGCTGTCCTCGGACTGGCTTGAGAAGGATTTGGAGGTTTTGGGTGCTGTATCTTCGTCCGGTGCACTTGCCTCGGCGGCTAGGGTGTTGGCTGCATCGTTGAAGTTGTTTGCGCTTATTCTTAAGGAGGCAGTGTCTCTGTTAAATGATTCTCGCCTCGTGTGCTGACAGGCTGTGCTTGCTTTCTCTTTGGAATCAGCTTGGGCTCTGGCTCTTGGGTTTTCATCTCTTTTTGTCCGTTGCTGTTTGCAGAGTCTGCTGTCACGCAGTTTGTGCAGGCAGCATCGTCTAGTTGTCGACCTATGTCGGACTTGTTGGTTCTCCAGGGTGGCCGTGGAGGGCATCCCCAGAAGGATTGTGCCAGGGGGTTCAGGGTTCCTCTAATCGTGGTAGGCCATGATACCAGTTTCAGAACCGGCGGCGGCTGGTCAGCATAGTGGTCGCTCTGTTCGTTGGCTGGATTCTCACAAGGGGTGTCAGCCCTTTCGCGGATCGCCCCATCGACGGAACATTCAGGGAAGGCTCGCGCTGTTTGCCCACGCCTTGTTCCACGATTCGTGGGCATTTCGGGTCATCTCTTCCGGCCTGTGTTGGCATTGGGAGGCTCCACCTCCTCCAGGAGATTTGGGGCTAGAGGGGCACGCCTCTTCCCCCTGCTCTCCGTCGGATCATCTTGGAGTGGGTACGCTGGGGCATGGTCGAAACGACCCCGTCCCTCAGGCTGGTTTCCCACAAGTTTCCAGTTCTGAAATGGGGATTTTGGTGGTCGAACAGGGTCCTGGCTGCATGCTACCTTGTTAACGTTCCTGGGCCCAGTTGGGCCTGTGTTGCCTTAGGTCGGCGGTTGCGGCCCGTGGCCTCGGCTTCGTCTTGAGGTGTGGACCACCGACCGCCTCCCGGGTAAGTGCCCTTGGTTTTCTTGGTAGTCTTTGGTGAGGTAGCTCCGGGGATCTGCAGGGGCTCCCCCCAGAAAACCAGTGTTGAATGTAATGAAACGCCATTTTCTGGGTGAGTCCCGGAGGCTCCGCGGCATCCCTCCCGCCCTCCGGTCGGCGGTTTTTCGCGGTTTTTGATGTCCAGCCTCAGAACTGGGGTGTGGATCGCCGGCTCGGGGGTCAGGGGCTCCCCCTTCACCCTCCCGGGGAGGGGGGGGGAGCTGCGCAGACATGCGGCGCGGCTCGTGTGACGTCATGCTGGTTTGCTTGTTTTTCTTTTGGGGAGTTCTGTCCACTCGTTTGTCAATTTTTGTTGTTAACCAGAATAGGGGTTTGTTTTGGGGCGCTTACCTTTCTGGGTGCCTGTCCCGGTCGATGGCAGATATGGAATGCTCCAAATCACATGTGCATTCTATGGGCCATTGCTCCCCGTGCCTCTGTGAGGGGGGCCAGGTTCTGGCTCGTGGTCCCCGGTAGGCCTAGAACTCCACCCACATCGACTGATGCAAAATAGTTAGGGTATCCATATCAGCCATGGATAGCTCCGAGGAGCTGTTGGGGCTCCCCCAGAAAAGCAGTTATTTGCATCGTCGGAGGTGTCCGAGAATTTGCCAGAACCAGAGGGAACGCTAGGAAGCACCATGTACTTTTCTCATTAATAAAGCGAAAGTGTGTCAATCGAGACAAATTTTTGCTGAGTGGCACGCTCATTATTCGAAATGCTCGTAGATTGAGGCGCTCGTCACTCGAGGTTCCACTGTATTACCAAAGAAGGCAGCCAACGCAGGAAACTCGCCACCACGCGCTAGGTCGGCCTGTACGCGTATCAACAAACTCGCCTTACGAGGTAACCCTCGCCTTTCGAGGCTCATTTTCCGAGGAAATCCTGCTCGTATTCCGAAAAACTCATATACAGGGACACTCGCATTCCGAGGTACCACTGTATACCCTCAAAGAGTAGAATTTTCATAGACCATTGCTCCCTGCGGGTCTCTGAGGAAGCAAGGTTCTGGCTTGTGGTTCCCAGTAGGCAGTACACCATGTGACTGAAGCCCCAGACTAATATAGCATACTGTATATCAGTCCGATAACTTCAGGGAGCTTCCGGGGTTTGCCCAGAAAGTGGCGTTTCATTACATTCAACGCTGGGTTTTTAATTGTAACTCTGAGCACAATTTCATAGTTTTTCTTGTTCTTTTGATGTCATTGTGCCTGAAGTTACTCTCAGTGCTTTATGTAATGCATTTCTGGTTATGTTGCTATTGTTGAGATGTGTATATGAATGCCGCATTAACCAACTTGTTAGATGTAAGTAAATTAAAAACGTTTTTATATTATGTCGCATTAATTGATGAGGCACATTGACTCAAGGTTTACTCTATTGTTGGGTCCAGTGAAACATGATGTTTCCAAATTATCCATTTTATTATACAAACTTTACAAGTAAATGTACCTTTGTATCTTTTAAACACTTTGGCGTACCCGGCGCACCACCCCTCAACTATGCGATTTGGGTCCCAGCATTTCACAGGAGCGCGCGTTAATTCTGAAAAGTGCATACTCTCTCAAACTTTGTCACCTCAGTTCTTATCCTACAAGATTAAATTTGGTATCATTGTGTTCGCAATAGAATTCTCTACAGCACTAAATGCATATAAACTCCAAAAGCCCGGCTAATTACCCACAGCAAACAGAAAGTGCGAATGAGTTACCCAGGAGCGCGCAAAAGTGATAAAATGTGTTCACTCTGGTCACCTCAATTTTCGTCCTAGGTCTTTCATTTTGGTATCAATGGGTTCGCAATAGAATTCTCTAGAGGAATATTAGCATATAAAATAAAAAACCTGGTCACGCTCAACCTGCCGACGAGTTGACGACGGGCCACGCGTTAACCGCGAGTGAGCGCCCAGATGCCTTCCAGTTACACTCCCAATTCCTGCCCACAAATGTTTAGTATTTAGTATTTTAGTATATTTAGTATTTTAGTATATTTAGTATTATAGTTTAGTATTTTTTGTGTAGTAGCTGTACATCACATAAGCATTGTAGATAGCCATTTGCACAAAATAGATGGTCATTTTCTTCGTCCATTTGTGAGTTTTCCTTATGAAGTGATAATATTTGATCATTTGGTCAAAGTGATCAACACCTTTCATGTTTGTATTGTAGTCACAGATTGCATTCGGCTTGTTGACAGTTACCAAACAGTCCCCAAAAAATCGGATAAAAACCTGATTTTTGGCGATTATTTTAGTGGACGACGCAGCATTGCGTCATGCCCGTGATTATCGACAGTAAACGGATGACACAGCATTGCGTCATGCCCGGGCGAAAGTGTTAAGTCAGATCATAAGTTTTGATAAATCATTAATTTATTAAAAATAATATGCTATATAACATTTAGTCAAGAGTTTGTATAGTGTATATTGTAAATCTGTTCAATTAAATTTCAGATGATGGAGGAAGCCGCACAACATCTGATTGGTCGTCATAATTATATTAGTTTATACAAGAGAGATGCCAGTAAAGGAATAAACTGTCTCTTTAGGGTGATCTATTCTGTGGATATTTGTCCCACGTGCTGTGATCTTCGTGCAACAGATGATAGCAAGCCTCTGTGTGATCCAGTTGAGTACATACGAATACACACACAAACGGAAAGTGAAAATGAAATGGAAAGTGAATCGGATACTGATACCAAAGAAAATTTTAGCCAAGATGACGGTAAACTAGTAGGGACAAGACAACATTCTGCTCGTGATAAACCATCCTCTGCCGCAACAAAGAGACATGGATGTAAAAGAGCCTTAAGCAACGATGGTTATGATGTGTGTGTCATTACCATTAAAGGCCAAGACTTTTTGTGGGATGAAATACGAAAAATTGTGGCTGCACTGTTTAGCATCGGAGAAGGAAAGGGCAGACCAGGAAGTATATTGGAGTTATTGGACGTTAAAAATAGTCTTAGGTAAGTAATGTAGTATTTTGAGCCAACTTCTGTAATATACTGTACTGTACAGTGGAGCCTCGAATAACGAGTTTAGTCCATTCAGGCACTGAGCTCGTTATGTGGAAAACTCGTCTTTAGAAACGAATTTCCCCATTTAAAATAATGGAAATAAAATTATTCCGTTCCACCCCCCAAAAACATCAATACCTGTATGACTATTTATATTGTAAATATAATACTGCACATGTAATTATAAATGTTTTGTTTTACTGTTTTTAGTTGTACATGTGCTTTACCTTATGAAGTCTTTGCTGGCTTGAGGGAGACGATGAGGAGGTGGGAAGGAGGAGAGGGGTTATGGTGTGAAGGGCTGAAGGTGGAGGTGAAGAACCCACCTCCGAGTCAGGCGGGCTCTCTCTTGGGAATTTCACCCCACTGGGACCAGGTTGCGGTTCACTATCGCTTGCTCGTCTTTTCTCTACTTTTGCAAAGAACGTATCTATCAAACATTCACAACACTTCTCTGATCTCACTGCAAGAGGCGGCAGCATCCTCTCTTATCTCCTCCTCCCCTGATGAGAGCTCTTGTACCTCCTCTTGACTCGGCTCCTTCTGAAGTTCAGGAGTTCCTCAGTGGTCAGTTCATCACTGTGCTCCTCCACTAACTCCTGCACATCAGCAGCATCCAACTCCAGACCCAAAGTTTGCCCCAGAGCAACAATATCCTCTTCAAAATAGTGCAAATTTTTTATGAGGACCTGCCATACTCCCTGGCTTGATCAGTCACACAGACACCACGCTCGTGCTTTGCTATAATTTCCTTCTTCAAATCCACAGTAATTGTCTTTCTTCCTCTTGACAACACTATCTTTAGCAAGCAGCTTCTTTGGCGACATCATGCATTACAAATTGTAGTCACAAGATCACAAAAAAAACAAAGAAAAACACAAATAAATGCAGAAGGATGCTTGTCGTGCGCGATACAACAACAACACTGGTGTTGGAGGCGTCCAAGATTTTGCGAGAACACTTGGAAGCACGTGGCTTACTCGTTAATAGAGCTAAAGCTCGTCAGTCGAGACAAATTTTTGGCGAGTGGCTCGCTCGTTACTCGAAATGTTTGTAGATAGAGCCGCTCGTTATTCGAGGTTTCACTGTATATAAATATTTAAGATGAGGATATTTGTTAGAAGGTGAAAGTTAGTTATAGCTTTCAGCCAGGATTTCAACAAATAAGGAAACAATTTCATTGTTATTACATTTATTCCTATCTAGTTACTGATTTAGCCAATAATAAGACCATGGCATACATTACTTTTCCAGCCTTAATACCTGTTGAGGCATTTATCCCACTGTAACACCAGTATCCAAGCATGGTAGGGTTATGGTAAGCCTCTTGAAGCCAATACGTAACGGGCTCTTTGACCATTCATTCACCGCTGCCAACATTGTCCTGCAATCATTCAAGTCATTACACCATGATCAGATCTCCATGAGCAAAGGGCAAGAAACTGACAAATTTATAACCAGATAATGAGGGATCGACAGACAATATGATGGCAAGACTTATTATCATGGCAAGGATATCAAGCTGGGGATCCTCATCATTTGGTGATAAATTTGTCAGTATTGTTCCCATTGCTCGCTGAGATCAGATAATGCTATACAATTCTGATCATATTTATACTGGTGTAGTAATTTAAAAATTATTTGAGAATTAGTTCAGATTTGGTGTGATTTAGTGATCAGCGATGAAGTAGAGGAAAAGCAGTACAAGTGAAACCTCACTGCTGTGAACTACATGGGACCATGCCCAATTTGTTGCTACCAGAGATGCTGTCAGGAGAACAGAGCCCTCTCGAGCACCACTTTCCGCTCCTTTCCAGCCTGACAAATACCTTTCAAATATGACCCTTTGTTTCCTGCCCATCAAATGCCCTTGTTGCCAATCAAGTGCCTTTCCTATTGTTCCAGCTTGTTTCTCCATCTTGTGTGTTAGTGTTATGTGAGGAACATTTTTATGGGGGGGGGGGAGCCCCTTCGGCTCCCCAGAGCTATCCAGGCTGATATTACAATATTAGACTTTGGCATCACTCATGTGCATGAAGTTCTTTAGGCCTACCGGGGACCACAAGTCAGAACCTGGCCCCTTCAGAGAGGCACGAGGAGCAATGGCCTATAGAAACCCCCATGTGGTATGAAACATTCTATGTCTGCCATCAACTGGGTCAGGCACCCAGGAAAGTAAGGGCACCAAAACAAACCCCCTATTCTGGTTAAGAAATTGCTACTAAAAGTTGAACTAGTGGACAGAACTCCCCAGCCAAAAATGAGCAAAGGAGCATGACGTCACCACGTCGTTGTCTGTGCAGCGTCCCCCTCCCTAGGAGGGGGAAGGAGGAGCCCCAGACCCCACATGCCGGCTACCCAAAATCTCAGTTCTGAGGCTGATGTGCTAGGCTGCTGTCATTTGCTCTGGCTCCCGATTTGTCACCATCTCTGTGCCTTGTGGTGTGGGGACAGTTCCTTGGGGGTGTGCGTGCCAGGAGTATTCTCTTCAGTACTCGGGCTGCATGCGCCTAAGGCTACTTTCCCTAGGTGCCCAGTAAGTACTGCCCTTGGGGGCTTGGGGCCACCTTCCACAAGTTCCTTGGGTTCTGCCTCGGATTGGTCGTTTGCTGGTCGGCAATCAGCCGCTTTTTGTGTGTTGGGGTGTTTCTTGCACTCATGTTCACCTTAGGGTAAGAGGTAGTTTGCACAGGTAGGGGCGCTGGGTACAGTGCAGCTAGTTGTCATAGCAGTCCGCTCTGTTCCGTCTGGGTACATAGTCCTTATGTGGGGTTTTATTTTTGTTTTTGTTTTCTCTACCTGGTGGGGGTGGTCTGCCTTTGGTTGGTTGCCCCCTGTATGTGTATAGTTTCTGTGCTTCTGGTGGTATTCCCTGCTAGGCCCCCGTGAGTGGACACGTCCCGGAAGTTAAGCTACCCACGGGACGTGGGGTAGCCCAGGCAGTACCCTACCTGGGCTTCCCTGAGCATGAGTTCCACCTCAGGACCCTGGGAATTCCCACTGGGATGCGTGGGTCTGATGGATGTGACCCCTGAGTCCCCCTCTCGCTTTGTGCGAGTTTGAGGGTTGCTCTGTCCCCTTGTCTCAGGGTGACTTTCATTGTGACTTTCCTCTGGGGGGAGCCCCGTCGGTTCCCCAGAGCTATCCAGGCTGATATGCTAATGTCATACTTTGGCATCAGTCATGTGTGTGGAATTCCCAGTCCCCTCCCCAGCCCCGGAATCTTTTGCATCTGGACCCGGGGCCGAGTCATCAACCAAAGCATTGGCCTCAGAAAAAAAGGCCGGTGCAGCCGTAAAAGACGGATGGAAGGGGGACCCCACTGGTCAGAACCAGAGGCTTCGGCAGGGATAGCAGACTCGAATGCTTCCGTCGCCACACTGGAAGGGGCAGCCCCCGAGACTGCCCGAGTCTCAAAACCATCTAAATCCTACTCCGACCTGGAAACCCTCAGATGTTTCTGAGCCGTAAGCAGGGATGGCTCATCACCATCTTCCATACGCCATCAAGAGCCCTCCATAAAGATAAGAGTAACTTTGATACTGTATTGTAGTTAGAAAAAAACATTGTATTCTGTATAAAATGTATTTTTATGTTAATATTTTGGAGGGTGGGGAACGGATTAATTCAAATCCCTTTATTTCTTATGGGAAAAATCGCTTTGACTTCCGATATTTCGACTTACGATCCGTCTCTGGGAAGGGACTAGCATCGTAAGTCGAGGCCCCATTGTATGTGTATGTGTGTATGTATACTTTTTCTTCCGGAAGGGGCTCTGTTCCCTTCTCTGTTGACGCGGCGCTGGGGGAGCAGCTTGCTCTGCTGACTCTCGCGTGGTCCCACAGTTAGTGGGCGCTTTTCGTTGTCTTCCGGCCTCTGGTGGCGGCGGTGGACGGCTTCTCTCTCTTTCGGGGCTTCAGGGCTGGCGGGGTGGGCTTCTTCCCCTGCGCTTCGTCATGTCATCTTCGTGGGTGCATCGGACATGGTCGATCTGCCCCATCCTTCTGGGGTTCCTGTCTGCTCTATGCAGACATGGGCCTGTCGAATCTGCGGTTCTTCTGGACTTCTTCAGTCTGCGCCCTGGATTCTATGCCCTCATCGGAGGACTGTTGTCTCCTGTCCAGCTTCTGTTGGGGCTGGGTGCCTGGATGATGGCCCTGGACCTCCAGGTCAATTCTTGGCACGTTCCTATCCAGTTTTCTGGGACTGGCACAGTTGGTGGTGGGGCTTCAGGCTTACCAATTTTTTTCCTTCCCTATTTTGTAATTGGCGCTTGGTGTATTTACGCATCTTTACCGGGTATTGGTGCCCTGTCTGAGTCTGCTTGGGATTGGGTGTCTGGCCTACCTTGACGACTGGCTGGTGTGGGTTCCCAGTCGGTCCGTTTGTCTCCTCACCAGGGGTGTAGTTCTTTCCTGATTGCCGGGTTTGGTTTCCTGGTGATCCAGAGGCCATTCAATTTGTTTCCGTCCCGGGTTTGGACCTGGCTGGGTCTTGTTTAGGGCTCTTGGGCCGCTCCTTGTCTTTTCCTCCAGAAGTGTTGCTGCGGCTGTGGTCCCACCTTCGGCTGTTTATGAGGGTGTGGTGTAACACTGTAAAAGTGTTTGAGTTAGTTTATTAAAATATATATAGAGTACAATACATGAGTCACAGACAAGGATCGGAGAGGCGCCAGTTGTCTGCCTGAGATCTCACACCTCTAACCGTTAACGACCCCAAGTGACCTGAGGTCAGATCATGAGAATTTCACCTTGCTTCCGCTAAGCTCTTAATTGGAGCCGGGTAGCCTTCAAACATGCCGACGTTTAAGGAGTGGCTTGGTAGAGTGCCGGAGGCTATCTACTTATGGGCGGAGTTAGCTACTAGGTTCCCCAATATAAACTCGGAGAGCTATCGAGCAGGAAGCAATAGGAGACCGGCCAGCGGAGCAGAGCAGAGGCCAGCCGTCG